GGGAGAACATTCTCTAGCAAGTCCACCGCCCTACCCCTGGTGAAATTCTTGAGAGCATCACATTCCTCTTGGTCAAATTCCTTCACCAGAGTCTCATCTTCCTCTGGTGCCTCCCATTTCTTTTCGTTATACGCACTGACTTCCGTCTCACCGTCGATCCGTCCCTCCTTCCCGCTTCTTTCGCAAAACTCAAACTCATTAAGGAGCCGCCTCGCATCCACTGCAAGGTCCAAGATCCCCCACTCCGTATGATCGATTCCCACGAACGCCGGTGCAACACCCTTAACAATGTACGTACCCCAAATGGAATCTCCCCGATGTGGCCACACCGGTCTTGTATAAACTCTTGCAATGCACCCGTAGGCACAACACAGCAAGAGCAACGCAGCGAACAACAGATGACGCATGCCGATCTTCTTTGAAACCTTACTCACAAATATGTTTTTGTGTATAGTTCTCATGAAATACAAAACAGAAAGAAAGAAAAAACAAATAAAAAGAAAGTCAAAAAATACATCTGACAAGGAAAACAGAATCGTTTGGCGCACCACATCGTCATGTTGACCACCACTGACACAAGGAATTTGGAAGGGGCACACTCAACATCCCCACCAACCTCACTAGCAACACGACATGCGCGGCCACATCATCACCACCGTAGCCCGACTGTTGCATTCCTTCTGGGGACAGCCACCCATTCACTGCAGCGCAACACGCAACAACAGTGTCCACAACCAAAGAGGTTGAAACCCTCCGCACATCACAATGCACAGAAATCCGCAATAAGGGCACGTCAGCAACCATGGTTGTACTGCGGGAGGGTGCACCATCACTGCCCTCGCCAACCCACCCCACATGCAACTGCCTGCACACCACATGTACCCATCAGAAACACACACCACCATGGCGGACCAAAACTCCGTTTGTGCAAAAACAAAACAACAAGTGGGTCAAAGGGGATCACGACAAATCCCCACATATTCTGACACACGGCATACGACACAGCGACACCAGCCCATTCAAACAACGCTGTAGGCATTACAATGAATCATACACAACAAAGAAAGAGAAAGAGAGTGTGACGTCACTAAAACAAACGCACAGTAAGACCACAACAGATTTCATCTAAATCAACAAACAACCACACACAAATGAGTATTGCCTATTTCACTACACTCACTCTCATGGTATTTTTCTCCTCACGATTCATGTTGGCATCACCGCACCCACATTGGCATCAGCAACGTTATCAACCAAACCAACGCTACAACGGGTCACCACCTCCTTGATATTCATTAGAAAGGTACGGTAACACATATTCCCTCCCCACCTGGGCCAGCCCACCCCATGGGAGGCAGAGGCCCGCAGCCAGAGCGCAACGCGCTGTGCCGCAAACAAAAGCGCCACCACCACCAGCACATGTAGAAAACACAAATCACGACGGCAAAAAACCAGATGGCGCGCCTGGCACCCCCCAAAAAAAATACAGGGGTGGGGGTCCGACCCCGCCACACGGACAAGTCCGAGACGGCCTGGGACACCCCCTGACCCCACCAAGGCGGAGCAGCACAACGACACAGAGGCTACGAACGACCAAAAGAACAATAACAACTAGTAGAACACCAAAATAGTAGAGGCGCAACTATTGTAGAGGCCGCCTGCTTCGACCAGAAAACCGCCACCCCACCCCGGCACCACCAGCCGGCCAAAGTTGTGACAGACAGCGGCGGCGACGCCACCAGGCCGGCACAACCCAAAACACCGGAACAACCCAACACCTGCAAGGGTTAGCTTGTGTGCGAAAATGTGCCCCAATACAACCGTAACGAGGCCCAGTAGAGCACGGAGGCTGGAAACGCACGGCACTCGCAAAACTGAAAATTCACCCCTGGGGGGTGGGGCTGGGAAGGGCACCCCGGAGACCCCCCCCCCGGGAGCATAATATGTTCTTTTGCGGGTGTTTCGGGTACGACCATACTTGGCCGAATGCACCATATCCCGTCCGATTTGTGAAGTTAAGCGGCCACAGGCCCCGTTAGTACGGCGATCAGTGATGGCGCTGGAACCCGGGGTGCCGTACCCTCCTCAACTTTTTTTTTTGCCAACATCTTGGGGTAGGTGCCGTGGACCTCTGAAGTGAACCGCGGCTCGCCTTTGGCAACGGCGCCTGCCTTATTGCGGCGCACAGCTTACGCGCCCCCATCCCCCAGGGAAAAGCCAAACATACCTCACCCATTGTTGTGGTGGGGCAGGCGGTGGTGTGCCAACAAACCAAAATACCTAGGGGGCGAAGTGTTCTTATGGGGGAAAGTGTTCTTATTGTGCTTATTTTTCCTTTTCTGCATTTCCCATGGATTTCCTTTTCACACCACACATGGCAGTAGGGGAACGCCTTAACACATCACCATAGCGGAATTTGCCTTTATCATGGGGGTTTGGTGAATCCTTCCCTTTGTTTCTTTTGTTCATGGCGTGGGCCATCCAACAGCACCTTTTTTACTCGGTGGCACGCGGCACCATGGCGTCATGAGGGGAACGGGGAAGGGTCATCTTTGCGGAATACCTTTCTAACCCATCTTACCCAGCGTTGAAGTAGGGAAAGCAAGAATTTTCCACTATGCCCAATCCCACTCATTTTATAAGTGAAACACCCCCGGGAGCCACCCCCGCCCCTCTTTTTCTTGTTGCGCACAAGACGCTGACAAGTTGGCCGCCCGCCTTGGGTTGTGGGGTCGTGTTCTCCTCCTCTCCCTTTTTGGGGTGAGGGATAAAAAAAAGAAAAGGTCAAAACCCGACAACGAGCCTCGAGCATTGCGCGCGTAGACTGGTTGCCGGGTTTCATCCTTTTTTTTCCTCATCCTCACTCTTCTTTTTCTCTCAAGTTCAAAGTCCCTGAGCATGATATTTCAGGCCTCAAGGTTCAGCGCCTCGGGACGTAAAGTGCCCCTCGAGCCCCGCCGAAGCGAAGCATGCCGCTCATACAAACCCCACAGAGGCCGCAGTGGAGTGGTCCAGCAACACAACGGTGTCCTTCCCACTCACAGTCCACACACACACAATGACAGTCCCACATGCTCATGTCAGAGAGGCACTGCGGCATTCCCTAAAGTGTACACCAAGTCACACACCTACAAAGGAAAAGAAAAACAAAAGAAAAGAACAACAACAACAGGATACCAACAGCACACAAAGCACTCACAGTACAATAATCACAGGTGCCACTCCCATCAGAAAAAAACATTCACCCACACCAGCACATCAACACACCCGAAAAAGAAAAAAAAAGGTCCATTACGTGAAGCNAACAACAACAGGATACCAACAGCACATAAGGCACTCACAGTACAATAATCACAGGTGCCACTCTCATCAGAGAAAAACATTCACCCACACCAGCACATCAACTCAATCCCAAAAAAGAAAAAAAAAACAGACCCATTACGTGAAGCCGAAGCGGAACAGTCTCAGTCCTTCTCTGCAGGTTGCAGTCACTCAAGCAAGCCACACAACAAACAAGGGCACAAATATGTTCGTGGTAATGCCGTGAGTGACACCACCGGGAGAGAAGGTGAGAACAAAGAAATGTGTTTTCATTACGTGGGTGGTGTGAGTAGCAACCCAAACACACAAAGAGGAACACACAACAGAGGGGCACACTCAAACACCTACAACCCACCAATCTTTATACCAAAATAAAAATGCTAAAGAAGAGTGACTGCGTGAGGCAGACACAATAATAGAGCAAGAAAAGTAAAAAAAGAAATTCATTACTTACCGTGGCTGCGATGCCTGGACACAGTCCAACCCACCCCAAGGTTAACAACGGAAAATCATTGTGTATTGAACATACCGTTCCCATATCTTTATTCTTGAAGTCCGTGCAGCAGTTTGTATATAATGAAAAAAAAGAATCATTCCATAAAAATGAACACACAAGACACACAGGGTGTATTGGAAACGCAAAAGAGAAACACACAGCTGCACATAACGTGCAATGAAATTATAATGAGAAACACACACACAAGGGAAAAACAATAAAACGAAAACAAAAGGAAAGCCGTGATCACCATGTGAATATCTTCAGGAGGCAATAACACATTTCCCAGCAGTAGGTGTGTGTGTATATCCTTCGTACAGGGCGAGCAGTGGGAATGATGCACACATGATGACAGTCCACACACACACACAAAGAGAAGGAAGGTTGGTACTGTGCGTGTTTGTGTCTTGAACCTCCTGCCATTCTTCACATTTCAGTCACAGCAATTAAAACACATTGGGTTTGTATCCCATTCCCATGGGTGAATGCAATAGTTATTAATATCACGGAACACACACATTACTGGGAGACCACAGTAAATGGCGGCAAAGCAGAGCCCAGATAATAATGCCAACAAAGAAAGAAAGAGGACACTCCCCTCAGAAAATGATGGTTTGTCATGTGATGAGTGCCATAGGGAGTCCAATAGATTTGTTCAGCAAAAAATGCAAATATGAGATTTATCGTGATGCAAGAGAAAAAAGGAAACATTCAAACTCAATAAAAAGAACAGTTTCCTTACAATGCATCCATATCCACTCAAACAAAGGTTAACTATGCAGCTGTGTCATGGGAACACCGATCAGCACACGAGTGTACAACCCAACACACACAACAGTAGCAACAATAAGGGGCCATGCATCAATGCGGGACTGTGGCTGCTGTCATTCCTCTTAGCCGCCTCTGCTCTTTTTTTCGCCTCTTCTGCTGCCCGTTCCAGCTGTTCTTTTTCTTTTTTCTCCTGTGCTTCTCTTGCTTTTTGGGCCTGTACTTCTCTTTCTCTTTGCTCCCGCGCCTCTCTTGCCTTTTGGGCCTCTACTTCTCTTTCTTTTTGCTCCTGCGCTTCTCT